TATTAAATATATTCCTACGTGCTAGCCCAGGGCATGTGATTTTTAATTCGTGAGATCCAATATCTTTATCCAAGTCGATAACGAAACCTCTCTAGAAGTCAGTCTCAGCTATATGGTATTAGTTTTTATTGTAATTATCACAAATACATAAGCTAAATTTGGTACTTCCTTTTTCGAATATTTCAAAACGTGTTTCGACTCCAACTTGCAATTTGTCTTATAAAACCGTAGTACCAGTTTGTTAATTTAATCAAATCGGAAGATCACAAAAGAAAATTTCACTATCTCATGCCAAACTCCGAGGTACTGAAACTATCCTAGCTGAAAGCCTTTCCGCCTGATGATTGGCTGGGTCGGGAAGTTACGGCTACTCCCACAGAGCAACTCGCACATGTAGTCGCAAAAATACACTCAGCTCCAAGAGATATACGAGGAGAGTTGAAACCAATCCATTGCAGTATTCCAAGTTTTTAAAAGAAATAAACATTCATTATTTATTTTGTAGGAATGAAACGTAGACAATTTCTAAATATGAAATAGTTTTGAAATACAACCTTAACAATTTGTATAATATAATATATATAAGATGTTCCCAGACTACTTGTCTTTATTCCTTTATGTTTATATCATGCTTTTCTATATCGGATGTGATTTGGAAAGACGCCACCCATTAGCTAAGCATATGTCACATTTTAATCTTTGGCCTACTCATTCTACCTGTATAAGCATTATATACGGCTCCTTTAACGTTTTTATGATGTGTGGTTTGTGCTAGCACTAGCACTCACTCCCCATGAAATTAAGTGTCAATGAAAATTGCTCGCAGTTGTAAAACTGTTATCCTCAAGTGTGCTAGATAGATTTAAATATTTGCGTTGTTGTTATTTAATTTTTCTTCAGTGACATCCATCGACAGACCAATTCGTATTCTATTTAGACTTGAAACCGGTAAGTTTATCCTTAAAGACTAAGATCAATCCATAATAGCTGAGATATTGAGGGTGAAAGATACTCAATCAGGTATTTTTAAGTTAATATCGACATAAACCATACAACCCACACATGAAACTGAAAGCAGACAATCATTTTTTAGTAAAAATAGTCTACTGGACTTACCAAATATATTGGGTTAAATTGTTTGCTCATATTGGACAAAATTTTCCTATATCCACCAAATGAATTATGATTGAGCTATACGGTTTGATAGTCAAAATAATCGCCAATATAAACCATATGCGTCCTCAAACATGAACCAAATTTCCTGAACAAGAATTAAATAACATCCCAGAAAACAATATTAATATACGAATATATACGAAAGCCAAGTGGCAACGGAAAATCGGGAAAGTTCCGCCACTGGCCAGGTGTCGGGTCTAAATTAAAAGTCCTCGGGGTTGTTCCCGACAGCGTCCCGTCCGGATCCCGGGTCGCCCGCATTAATGGGATTGTTGTTTCGTGTTTAAGCCATTATCGATTTCCGCTTCGCAGGCCCCGCAGATTTTTCAGCGCCGACAAGTTAAACGGCGCGTCACATTTTTAAATTTCTCCGTAGCCGTCTCGATTTTTCGAATCGTTTCGTGATGGGCGTAGGGGTCAAACGGGAGAAGGATTGATTGTCCGTTACCGATCGTAGTTAGCTACGAAACAAATCGCCGCGTTAGACTAAAGGGATGGCTAAAAAGAAAGAGATGCATCGATAACGTCGCGCATCCAAAATTTAATTCTCTACTTTTTTAGTAGTAAAAGTAGTCGATTATATTAATACATCTCGCTCCTGCTTTTAGATACGAAGAAATCGTAAAGAAAGAAATGAATGAATGTTGCGGATATTGATATAAACCTTAAATAAAGCTAGGTCGCTTGTTGATGTTGATATTTATTTGTTATATGTTTGTTTAATTGAAACGAGGAGCGTTCATATAAAAATCAGACAAATTTTGAGAAAAACATAAAAAACTGTCTTAAAAACATAAATCTCTATTCACAATTTATTAAAAAGTGGAAATGTGGTGATTCGAATAGACTCTTCAAATTTTTATTTATTGAACATAATAAATTATTAGTTTTTTTATATTAATAAGAATAAATCACATCTGATCCGACCTTGATTTCGCCACAGTATTTTACTAAAATTTATTAAAAAAACTGTAATAAAGTCAGTTGTTCATTATTCATTATCCATTACCCACATTTAGCACCCAAGAACTTGTTTTCTCAACGCAAATGAAGATGGATCGGTTTATCCAATTCATTGAACGGTTAATTTTTCTCTTAAATTAAATAGTTTGCTAAAAAATGCAAGTTCACGGGCGATTTACTAATATGCCAATCCCTATTATGTTTCGTTCTTTCCGCAGTTAGCTTTAGACTTAATAAAATATCATTTAATGAATATCACCATATTCAGGAAATTTTCGCGCCAGTTAATAAAAAAACTGTTAGTTCTTAATTTTTTTTATGACCATATTATAAAGTTCGTTTGCTGCCTTTTAAACATTAAACAAATGTTTCGAAGTCGAATTGAAGAGTACCTTTGACAGGTAAAGACATGAGCCGTTACGTTGTTTATAGATTTCTAGAGACTCTTGGATTTTTCGTTGGTAGAAGAATTGAGGATTACATGCAAAAGCAGGATGACTGATGAAACGTTAGCTAGTTCGACCCAAGAAAAACCGAGGCAGGAGGAATCCTGAAGTTTTATAAAAAGTATTACAGTAGCATGTGGAAGTTTCTTTGAAAAATTCATTTGTTACGCCATTGGCGACCGGCTCCGGCATTCGATGCTAATTGGATTACGATGGTCTCGCTGGTTGGCGCTTTTTTACGGTGCAGCGGCAGCAGCAGCATCATCTAGCAGCGCCCTTTGTGCGCCCTCGACGCAGACACCCCGTCCCCTCTACACGCCAGCAACCGTCCCCCATCGAAAAAGGCTCGAACGCCGAATTAAAAATTGAGTGGCACTTTTGTCCGCTTTTTTTGCTGCCGCTGCCGTTGCTGCCGCCCCTCCAAAATGTTATTTGCTGTTTTATTGTTCTGTCGCCGGCAATATTGGGACTCTTTGGCATCGGCGGCGGCGGCAGCGGCACAAAAAAAAAAGATAAAAAAGAGTTGGGGCGGGCGGGGGAACCTCGGCGCGCTCGGATATCAGTTTGTTGTTAAATTGAATTATTTGTGTGAAATCATTTTTTGCCGACCCGATTTTGATTTTTTCGTTTATTCGATGTGTATACGCGAGTGGTTATTGATTCAGTTTTTTTTTCTAATAAAAACGGATTTGCATTCCGGGCGCGTGGCTCGCCAGTATTTTGTGATAAAGTTCGGTTTTCGGTTTGCTGATTGACTTGAAATTTCACATTTTTTGTTTCGTAGGAAACTTTTTTACTGCTCTAATGCAATTTGGAGCTTGAAATTCTGTTTTGCTATTAATATTTTTTCACTCGCTCACTGATTCTGATGTTTATTGTTCCCAATATTAGAACCAGTTCGTCAAAAAACATTTATCATTATTTTTCCTTCGTTCTCAAGAAGCAAGTAATTTTCGCTGTCCTTTTTTGAAATCTTTTTGAATTATGGGGAATTGAGAATTAAAAAAATTACTTTGTATGTTCAATGTTCAGTGAATGTAACACCTAAGATCGACTCGATCAATATACTCCAGCACTGCATTTTTTTTATTTTTCTTTGGCGAGTTAATGGTAGTTAATGTTCAAAAATAAAATAAATGTCTCCATCTATTGTTGCTTTTGGATAGTAAAGAAGTCTCTGTTGTTATTGGTGTTAAGACTGTTGGGCAATAAATCTATTTAATTAATTAATCAACTTATTAAGTTAGAACCAATGCGTTCGTCGAACTGAAATTTGATGATTTAAAAATCCGAAACATAGACGGGGAAGCAAGAACCGACGAAATAAATTTGCAAACCCCCTGGTCCGCTGTCGAGCGAATTAAAAAACAGTGAACTCTCCCTTATTCCCTCCACAGCTTCTTCAAGATGACGCCTTCGACGATAAAAAAAATAATTGTCACTTGTCCCGGGAATCCATTCCGTTCAATTTCTCACGCTGTGCATATTTACCAAGGAGCACCCTCGTGACGGATTAGGGTATTAGTCGCGCGAACGCCCTCTCGACGGCGCCGTCAACCCGGATGCCTTTCTAATTAGAGTTAAATAATTAATGGCTAAGATGGAAGGGGCTAAATAACACCGGCAATTAAATATAAATCTGCGCGGCCTCATTAATTACGCGTTATTCGCGTCGATCGGCGGACCTTGCGACGAGTCGCGCGCCCTCTGCCGTTTGACAGTTAATGATTGCGTCACCCGATACTTTATCGAGCAATAAATTTCTTCGTGGTAGCGGTAACCCGTCTTTTACGTAAGGGAAAAGGGATTTAGGGAGTTTTGGTTGTTGAATAATTAATTAACGTTGAAGGTCAATTCCGAAAATTGGTTTTGTTTTTGGAAGAACCGGTAGTGTACCATTTTTATTTATATAACTATTGAATTAAATTTTTTGAGAAATGTAGGTGATCCAGGGCTGCAAACAAGTGTAGGAGAATATATTGGTGTTGACTTATGTTTCTAAAGTTGTGACGCACGTTGCAGACCATATGATGCAAAAATGTGGACGATAGATAGATACACTTTTCCATGTATCGTAGGTGCGATTCATGGTGACGTTTATATTAACGGCAAGAGATGTGACAGCATAACTGTTCAAGCCGCTCGAAAATCTGATTACGTACTTGCGGATTATGTACTAGGAGTAGGTACTCCTCAAATCGAAATCTTCTTTATTCATATAAATTTCAGCGCAAACTATCATGCTCACGAGTAGGTACGTTCTCGGAGTTTGAACTCTGGTATAATTATTTTGGACTTTTGGACTTTTCGTGCATCTTAAAATCATCTCCACGAAAGGATCTAATTGTAAAATAATAAAAGAGGAAACATTTTGCCGTAAAAATGTCCTTTAATATTGATTCCTTTTTTTTTCAGCAACAGAGACCCGATCTGCCAAGGTTATTGCAACAGATGCACGCCCAACAGTTGCCGGCCCACGCCGCACCACCCATACCCATGATGCCCCATCCCGGGCTAGCGGGTGCCCCACCGAGTACGGCCGCTAGCCTCTTGGGCTTGTCTGGCGCGTTACCCGCGCAGCATCCCCTATCGATGTTAGCCTCCAAACCCGATCTGCATAGGCCAGACGACGTGAAATCCAATAGCGGTGAGTAAGGGTTTCACAGTATTACAGAACAGTATTACCCCCCCCCATATCACTTCAACTGTTTATAGAAATATTTAGCACTTTTTGAAACCTTAAACATATAAATCGATTCAGTGGATTTATCATTTAAAGAGATTTATAAACAATATTACAATTGCCACTCGATCATATCATGTTTCAAATTTGGAACACGATACATAAAATTTTCTTACACCGAAATAAACCCAATTGCTTCATTTTCTCATTTAATTTATTCGCAGTTTAAACCTCGCACTGCATGGTAGGATTTTGGATTTTTCAATATAAAAACATGAAAAAGTCTCATGAATTCGCTGTATTTATCTAAGCTCGTTCCGAAGCGACGGCTCACACTTACCTTCTTTAAAAGCATCATTTGTCAAAACCATTCATTTTTAATAGCCCTCCAAGATTATTAGTGGTAAAGGTTTAACTCTCTCATCTAATTCGTCCATAATATTTGCGTGTGATGTTTTAATGCCCGACTCGCAAAAGTCCGTTTTAATTGTTACCCATTGTAAATATAAACGTAAACCAAACGAAACGTCGTAAACTTTTAATATCGCACTAAATTCCGTGGGGGTTTATGCGTACGGTTCGGGGCCGTTAATTCCCGAACGGCATGTTATTAAATCTTTAAACTACTCCTTGTTTACGACGTTTCTTAAACGGCTTTCGTTTTAATTTCGCCATTATTAAGCCCTCGTAAAATGTAAAAACGCCTTTTCGCGCGAACCGAGCGACAGTTTCCATTCGCGCGCTAATTTGTAGCAATTAGGGATGCGCGTTTCAGTCACCATATAAAGATGTTAGAATCGATGGATAACAAATAAATAAAAATAAGAATGAATGATTCAGTGTTCTGTTCTAAATAAAATAGGTAGCATCATTTCCGGCTAAACCGGAAGAGTATATGATTAAAAAATTGCAAATTTTAGCCTATATTGAACCCACGAAATTTCATTTCGCGTTCTATGGAACTGTTTAGTAGCCATTCTCTTGTGTCACCGGGTATACTTCAATCGAAAACCCCCTACAGACGGACCTTTATGTAGTATGCGCATCCAAAACCCGTACACGCAAAAATGTCCAGTAAGTGATTCATTTAGCGTGGGCAGTAGTGGTATGTGCTCAAAATGAAAAATAAAATGAAATATGTGATGTAAAAATTAACTTCTACAACGGCAAACATTTTCTCACATTAGCCTATCTATTATAAGACAGCAACGATAGCCTATTTTTAACAAAATCATATTAATTTTCCATCCAAATTATATGGGATTATACCTAGAAAGATACGTTGCGATAGTATTTTGGTAAACCTTGTACATTTCGCAGAATCCAAGCAGGAAATCACAAAAAAGATATTAACGAATCAAAATTAATGCAAACATGGACCTTGCCTAGATGCTGATGCTTGATGAATGTCCGCAGAATTTACACGTTCAGACTTGAGAGAGATTTGTTTTTGAATGCGCATTCGTAAACGCGGACATGGACGTCCGTCTGTAGAGGCCTTAAATAGCCGGAACCCCCAGTTCGGTAGGCCCATCGCAATCACTCACCCGGTATTCACGTCCGGTTCCATTTTAACATTACGGAGAAAAAAAGCGTTTTAAACGACGACACAAAAACAGTCTCGAGAAGACAATTAATTTGACGCTATTTTAAACGGGCACGCGGATGGAGCGAGAGAGAAAGACAGAGAGAACAACCGCGCCACCAAAGTTAAACAACGGGAAATTCTCGAACAATGAGTCCCTTATTAGAAGGCGTTTTTATTTTTATTCCGGGCGCTCCGGAAAGTTTCACGGCTCGCCGGCCGCAATTTAGGTAGTAAAACAATAGCTGTGGCGAAGACGGCCAAAGAGGAAAATAAAGTAGTATCTCCCCCCGCCCTCCGCCGCCACCCTCCCGCCCGGCCCCCTCGGGGACCGATGGGACATTCGTTCCGCAGTATATTGATCCTCTCATTGTAAATATAATTTATCAACCGAGTAAAATCGGGTTACACACTCCGATAAACATCGAAAATTGCTACGGTTATGATTGAACGTTTCTCCGAGGGGCGAGGGCGTCCTCCCCCTTCTCCCGCTGCGTCCCTTTCGGTCGCGTTTTCTTACAATCCCCCGACTTATATTATTTAGGGGATAAATTCTTTTGTATCCCCGTTTTATTTTCCTCTAATCTGTCAAGCTGTCTCGCCGAGCCTTGTAACATGTCACGTGTGGTCCATCGTCACTCTTTTCCACTTGATTTTAAATTGAAAGTTTTCGGAGCTCCATCTTCTCCGGGGTTTTATTACGTCGTCGTCTTGTTGGGGCTACGTGTTAATTTAACGGCAGTTAAGTGATTTGCTCCCTTTGGCTAACTTGACTTGAAATTGATCCAGAAAAATATTTGAAGAACGTGAGGAAATGTAACGGCGTATCACACTTCAGACCTGCGATAGAAATAAATTTATTTAAAAAAGATTTTTTTAAAAATACCTGGAACGTTTCGTCTTAATTTTATTTTCTTATGAGAATTTATGCTTCCATGTGAGTATCAAAAAGCATTTATTCCTACTTTCTTGCACCTTTTATTCTCCGCCTCAGCTGAGCTTGGCCTTAAACCGGAAATGTAGTCTTTCCTCTGTGTGTATTTTCATAAAATTTTTCCAAACATTGTTAGGCTTTGGCAAAAACTAAACCTTCCAAACATTCATCATTTGAAGGATGTCATTACATATAATAAAACGAAAACAAACTTCAGTCTTGAACCCGTAAGATGCGCACGTATATTATTCCGAGGATAGTTTTAGTGTCATATTTTTCTTCACTTAAACAAACCCAATTACAGCGAAATCAGCGTCGATAAAGTGCTCGGTGTTCGCGAGACACCCCTCGTCACTCGTAACCCCTTAAAAAGCGTTATAAGGGCAATTTACGATCACCCCTCGATACGGGGAAGCTGGAGAGCGAGCGTTCCGATGTTGTCATGCCAACCAGCGAGGAGCTATTGTGAGAAGAGCCCCGCTTCTTGTTTCACCCCAGTGCACCCTCTCGAAGAATAATCACGGAAACGCGGCGGCTAGGGTGGAGATGCCATGCATCCACGCACCTTATTTCGTTTCGTCGTGTTTGTTAGACGGGCTAGGGGGAGCCTGAGCGGACTTACTCAGACGTGAACATGTCCCAGACTAATTCGGAATTAAGTTACGGGAGTAGCTTTGTAACTTCAGCAGCGCGGTGGAGTTAAAGATTTTGCCACCGATAGATATAATTGGGCGTCCCTCGATCTGTAGCTTGTTAGAGTAAGAAAGCACTTTATTATTATTACAACATCGCACCAACGACAAAAATTGGTGGACTATATTGTGTTTCTCACTGCGAGAGAGTAACAGAACATAATTTTGTGATAGCAGGTTGGACAACTTAAAGGTTATATCTTAAAATTATTTAAAGTAAGCCAATGGATGAATGGTGTCATTTTTTTCCAAGAAAACGTGGATATTCTTGTATGGTAGCTGGTTTTATCCATGACTATAACACATCGAAGATCAATCATTTGCTGGAAGAAGTCTTCAAAATCATCAGCATTCATGTTTTCATGATAGTCTCCGTCCGTTTTGATTGAAATGCTAGTACACCACCACCACCAATGTGAGTAATTATTAGTCTTTTCCTTTTCCCGAGGGTTCCTATTCAAGAAACCTTGCCTCAATTTCGCCCTGTTTTCCCTTCAATTTGAGTCGCCAGCAGAGTGTCTAAGGTGTTTTTCTATTGTTTTGAGTTTTTTTGAAAGTCTCGGTCAGTCTCATCTCGCGAGGGATGGGAATAAAAACTGATTATAAGCTGACTGAATTCACTGTGCAATTTGTTTTAGCCAGTTGCGAGTGAACCTTGGGGTAAGACACATATATGGGCCCCTTGCCCCTGGCCTACTTTACAAATAAGATGGGGCATTTAACATAGCCACTTGAGAATCACGTAAAAATGTACTTATGGTGATACAAAAATACTTTAAATCTACAGCACCGTGGACTTCGTGGCTTCTGGACTCACGGCCCCAGAGCAGCCCAAAAGAAAATATTTGTACTGATCTTTTATGATGCAAAAGTGTTCAAATGGTTGAAATGAAACAAAAATTTTAAACACAAGCCCATTTCCTTGTATTTGACGTACAATCCACAGTGTCCTGTCCATTTATTTTTATGACAAAGGTAACCTGTACCTTTATACACCTTATTAGGAGTTACCAGTAATTTTTTTAATAAACGTCAAATATATTTATTTAAGACTGCAAAAATTACCTACCTACCTACTGCGAAGTTACCTACCGAAAAAATATCAAATACTTGCTAATCCCAGAAAAAAGTCAAAATTTATGCCCATATTTGATGAAGGGTAGGTTCAACAAATTGGTTAATATCCTTTCATACAGGGTCTTGCGACAAAAATGGCTCATGCCAAGCTTTTGTGGCAAACTGTATAACCAAACTAATATCTAGGTCATTCGCTTGCTCCCAGAACTCTAGTCAAGTTTTTCAGTTCTACAGGTACATTCGATTGCCTCCACCTCTGCATACAGGTACATACTGAGTTGAAGGAAGTAAGGCACATTCGGCATTTCTAAAATTATGTTAACATAATTGAAATTTATTAATACTTATATAGTTTCAGTCGTACAGTGTAATGTATTACACATTTCTACAAATATTTTTATTACTAATAACTTCTTTACCTTGTCTCAAGTCTATTGCATATATTCTTTTGGTCTCCTTTCTTACACATGCTTGCGACTCATGTCTTGTATTTGGTCCTTTAAATGTTCATGATTATGTTGTCCCTTCCTTAAGATGAATACACCATTCTCTTCAATTTTTCCTGAAACTTGAGATTTTGTTTCTGTGCTTCTGAGATATCTTTTTGCAATAACTCGAATATACATATATTTATTGACCTTTAATCCTATAAATCGAATAATTTCAATAATGTTATAGAATACGACGTTTTTGCACCAAACATGCGAAATGCCTTTTTTGTGAGCTACTATAAAATATTAAATCAATTTTACCATGAATAATACATAAAGTCGTCGTGAAAAACTATTTGTTAAGGGATTATGTTCCTATTCTGCATTACGCTATGAATTTACTACCCACAATCAACTGAATTCCTGTTTAAAAAAGGAATAAAATGTTAACTTAGTAAGATAAATCATTTTAAATAAGTTTCAAACTTGACATCCCTATAAAAATCGCTGGTTCTAACCTAAAACATTCTGTCTCTCGATCACGTATGCGTGACGTTTCAGCTGTTGGCGGATCGGCTGTTACAAACCACCCCCCCGCCCGAACCCGAACACCGTTCGTTCATTTGCTACCATCTCTATATACGTACAAGTTGCGAGCGTTTTTCTTTCTCGTTCCAGCGACGCACCTCGGTGAATGAAAATGGTGATAAATTTCGATGCCCCGCGAAGAAACCCCGATTCACCATAAAAAATGATCCGATTAATCGTAATTACCTTGTGTCGGGGGGAGAATTAGTCCCCGGTCGCGGCCGGCGGGGGGCCCAAGCGGGGCTGAAAATAAATAAAAGGGAAGTGAAGTGGCGGGGGTTGCGTCGTCGTAATTTTCTTTCGCGTGAAATTTAGTTATTTGGCGCTCTCCCATGATTTATGAATTAGACCGTCGGGTATACACGAACGGCGGCCGGGAAGAGAGGGGCGAGGGGGGCCGGGAGGAAGCGAAAAAGTTTAAAATTGTGTTCCGGAATTTATGTTCTTCCAAATCGGGGCCGCGGGGTTGGCCGTATAAATTTCACGCCCCCGGATTATTTGATCGTCGGGCGTTTTACGACCCGAAATTTGAAACCGCCAGGGCCCCCCCCCATGCTTTAGCTTTTATTTTCGGACCCGACACGTTATGACCTCGGGGTCACGATGGAAGTCGTAAAACCTCGAATCGGGAAATGGATAAATTAAAACAAAATGAATGCGGTCGACAGGATTTACAGTTTGGCAGAATCAAGTACAGTGAGGGCTTTTTTTTATTTACTTTTCTTAAAGAAATTTATGTTGAAAATGTTATTGTCAGAAAAATTTTTTGAACATTTTTTTAACATATTGCACGAAAATTATTCGATTTGGGTTTTTGAATTTGAAGCGAAATGTGTTCTTTGTTACTTTTATTTCTGTTTGTTATTACAATGTTTGGAAAAAGTGAAAACTTTGCAAAAGAACCAAAACGAGGCTATATAACAGAGTTAATAAGGTATAAAAAAAATTTGTACAAACTGATTTAGTTTCATTTCAAAAATTCTTAAACGTTTCTTGGCTCTTTATTTCACAATGCAGTAGATTAAAGATTTTTATTCCCATTGAATCAATGTAAACGATTAAAGGAGGCACTTGCGGGTGTTATAATTACTTGTTTCACTATTTGCTGCTTAGGAAGACCACTCAGAAACAAACGCTATCCTATCCCCCAGGACTCTTTTAGCACGATGCATACTAATTAGTCGTTGTTAATGGTTGTGTTAATTTTTCTTAGAAGAAAAAGAAGATAGATAAATTGTCACAGTGGATTTTGCAATTAAGATTTTGCTTTAACTAAAATCCACCTTTGATGACTGACTACTTTCTGTTGTTCCGTTTTACACCTTTAGAAAATTTCGTAGAGTTTGAGCATACATCGAAATAATTTGGAGCCTTGGACATTTCGTAGTAACACGAGAAAACGTTTTAATTTGCTAAGTTGCAACGTATATTTTCCTGCCGCACAAGTACGTGTACGTATTGCCCGACGCGACGCGACATTCGAATCAAAAGATCCGGCTTGGCCGCGCCCTCCCCCTCCCCTGTAAAAACGACGACACGTTTTGTACATTTCATCTCAATTGTTTTTGTCTGGAATTGTTTCATGTCGCCGCCGCGGATTGGCCGGGATGCTGCTCGCTTCGTTGTCCGTTGCTACGCTACTGCCGTGACGCTGTCTATGCTGCCGTTGCTCCTGCCATTCCCGGTGCAGGTATCAATTCTGCCGAAGAACGTCACGTAAGTGTATTTTGATTTCCGTCGAATTTTGTTGGCGCATTTATTATCTTAATATATAGAAATTTTTTGAAGATAGACATTTATTTCTTGGGAGCAAACAACGCTGGGATCCTCACTTTATTTTAATTTATAGCTATTATTGTAGTTTCTTAATTTACGCATTGTTTATACAAAAACCAATACTTTTTCGCGAAAACTATTTTGTTTTAATTTAGCGTTACTTTTTGATGCCTGTATTTATGCCCATCCAAACCGCAAGTGAGTGAGACAAAATTGGAATCTTGGGAAGGAAGATTTGCGTTTTCAAAATTTTTCTAAATCAGTGAGGAATTATAGTGCGGTAAGGAGTTCCGGACCCATATAATCAGTCATCTTGCCACCAAAATGTTTTGCTTTTATTAATATATTTTTTTGTTTCCATATGCTCAGTGTTTTCCAAAAAAGTCTTTTGACCCTATGAAAATGCCTCCTCAATACTTCATCTGCTCGGTCCCGCCGAGACTCTATGGACAAACTTGAATTAAATCATTAATATTAGCATTATACTACTTATATTCATATTTCTTTTTTCAATACGCTTTCCCATATGGTAGGCTATCGCCTATTAAAAAATCAGGAGAGGGATGAGGATGTCCAGCATCCTTATTTCAGAATTTTCTATTTATTCTAACCCATTTTGTCCGGTCTTGGATTCAACTTTTAACTCGTAAGATTTTCATTTCTACTGTGTGCATCGGTGTTTAGATATTTATTATTTCTCCATATAATATCTCTTAGGCATGCCGAAAACCAGAAGCTTTCATTTGCTCTTGTACTTCTCTTTTAAAATTTCCGTCGCTCGTTAAATCTGATCTGTATAAATTTCTGAATTGTGGCAGGGTAAGATTGAAAATGATTTTATTTGTTGTGCAATTTGAAATCTTAGGTGTTGAGACTTTGTACTAAACTAAACTTCCCGGGGGGATAAAAATAAACTTGTCAACGATGCACCCCAGCATATTCCTCTGCGTGGATATATTTAAACAACAGTAAACAAATAGCACTCTAATAGCAAAGTGTCGTTTAAAATCTAATTAAAACTGTCGAATCCGGCAAGACGGAAAACGAGAGTGAGATAACGAGTAATCCTTTAGAAATAACTGGAGTTTTTCTAATTAGGAAACCCGGCGGCCGCGGCAGCTTCGAGAGAGACCGGCTGGCGGCGGCGACGGGTGCGGGGGGTTTTAAAAATAAAAATAATTACGGTTCTCGATCTATTTGCCCGACAGGAACTTTTAAACAAATTTCGACGGAAGACCGACTAAACGATGAGTAATAAGCGTTTCCTCCGTCTATCTATCTCTCTGTCTCTCTATTTCTCCGTTGTTTTTCCACCCCCGTAATGGGATTTATGGGAAAACGACGCGGGTCGGCGGCGGCCTCCGCTTTACCGCTCCTCGCCGGAAAAGAGTTATCCCTTTCTCCTGGGAAGTTTCCTCTCCCCCTCCCCAACTTTGGGCGCAATTTACGGTAAAGTTTCATTTTATAATCTTGTCGCCGCATATTTCCCAGGACGGAGATATAAATTTTAATGCGCCGGAGCTAAGGGCTCGTAACTTTACGGGCAAAACGTCGCGAATTTTAAAACCAATTTGGGCGCCGTGAAATTTGATCGTTTTTAAACACTTACTTAGTTCTTTTTTCCCACAAACTTTTTAGCATTGCCGTTCGTAGGCGCGTCAAAGTCAACAATCAGTGCAACTTTTAAGTATTGTCGGTGAGGGGATTGCGGAACTTTATGTAAAATGTGTAGCCAACGAAAACTCCTCATTCAGAGAAGACGGGATCACAAGAGTATTTCTAATCTTGCAAGGAAGAAGCTAGAGAAGAAGAGCATTTAGCAATTAACTCAATTGCAAACTCAACAGATGGCCTGCGTAGCCAGGGTGTTGTTGTCTGCCAGTTCCTCGGTATGGAATAGCGGGGTCGTTTAAATATAACTATACAATTCTTCATCGTCTCTAATTAAAATAGGTTCAGCATGTAATACTTCTGACGTTTCTTCTTCACAACGGCCCTCCTTCCCCCGTGCATTCCCACCACACGTTCCCTCGGATCGTATACAGAATATTAATTACGAACCTCCCGCAAAGCGGCGAGCCTTTTATCCGTCCGGCTATTATCTAACCCCGTCGTTCCCTTCTTCTCTCCCCCTTGCTTGCTAATTAACCGGCGCGAATTCGCAACTCCTCCCGTCCCAACTCGCAACGCCGGTATTAACGCGACGACGGGTTACATCTCCTCCGGAGTTCGATTATTAACATTCTCGGGCGCCGCCAGGAGGCGGATTTGTTTGCGCCGCTGCCGCCGACGACGATGGCCTTTTGTTTCTCGCCGTAACCGCAGCCGAACCGCGGCGCTGCGCAAGTTTACATGCGGACCGCAGCCGCGGCTTCGGAACGGCTGCGGTTACGGCTTTAGATAGACCGCCAAGGCAGTCGGCCCTCCTGCATGGACGGAATTCGATCCCAGTGGCGTTCACGTACGTTTTGCGATCATTGTGGGCGCTGAGGTTTGTTACGCAAACCGACCACGATTAAAGAACTTTCCCCACTCATATATCTGTGACTTGTGTTGTGGAACCCAACCTAGCTGCCGGAAATAAACTATGGTATCAGAGAGCTTCCATCAGTCCATCGTATAAGACTGACCCACCGGGGTCACAGTGGCACCTTTGGTTTCAAAAAGGATGAAGGTGACCAGAAACGGACATAACGGTCAGCGGGGGCCTTGGCAAGAATGGTGGTAAAAAATCCACGCCTCCGTGCTCGTAAGCTGGGAAGAGACTCTGTTCGAGACTAGGCGATGAATGAAAACGCAGACGTCCTAGCAATGGGGGGGGGGGGGGGGCAGAAACGTCACCGATAGAACCAGAAAGATTAATAGAATATCAAACACCATCGACATAGACTTTACTTAGAAATTGACCCGATTACAATTTTATTGGTAAGTCTTCTTTGTTCACTACCACGTTCCTGTCGAATTTTTGAGGATGTCTACGGGAAGAAAGACATAATTATATGATTAACAAAACAAAAATATTTTTTTTTCGATATATTGGTTTATTGAATTTGGTATCAACATGATCCGATATACTATGCAAAAAATTAATTTTCAAATATAATAACTAATGTTGTAGAAAAACAATAATACCCAAGTCAAACCTCTATGTATGTATGTATATATATATATATATATATATATATATATATATATATATATATATATATATATATATATATATATATATATATATAAGATAAGGATGCACAGCATGGGGATCTCGGAAACTATATGAGATACAGTGTCGGTTAAATTAGACAAAAGTTGCGCATTTTGATACGGAACAAGATCCCGTTTTACAAATTTGAAAATTCCAAGCCGTTCCGGAAATATCCGAGAAAAACCGAAATATTGCGATTTCGTTTTTATTATTTTTTAAAGCTATTTGAAAAGATATGAAAAAACGGAAAACACTTTTCCATTGGCACTTTTTAATCTCTCCAAATTGACGTTAACAAATTTTCATTACAGCGTTTCGATTCCATGGAACCACCATCAACTTTGATTTTTCTTATGGGACGGAAAAAAAGTACACACAGTATTAGGTTGTGCTTTTCATTGCGAATTCAACGATGTACGATACAATACGGTTACTTATGTTTTTATCCAGAAAAATGGCTTTTTAATACATTTCAGCATTTAAATGGAGTAGGCCATGACAAAATGACATCCAGTCAATTTCAATGACACATTAATGTTATTTGTCTTTGTTATCAGTCGTTCATAAGTTTATTCCTTTAGTTATTGTTTTTGTATTTTTATTGTTGTTGTCTTTTTCTAATTTATTTTGTTCTACAATGGAGGGAGGTAATTTTACAAACGAAGAAAAATGTGATATGCTGTCTTGCTACATCTGATGCCAAAGAAATTGTGTGGAAGCCGAGCGTATGTATTCTAACAAATACCCAAAGCGGAGACAACCTGACAAGAGTATTTTTCGGCGTTTGTTATTTAATCTGAAAGAATATGGATCATTTAAGAAGCCTCCATTATCCCGACAAAAACCTTCCAATGAAGAAAACCAATACATTGTTCTACAATCTGTTATCGAAAATCCACAAACTTCTACCAGAGAAATTGAAGACCAGAATGGGGTAGCTAAATCTACAGCTCACTTTATTTTAAGGAAAAATGAATTTAAGCCTTACAAATTCAGAATATGTCAAGGATTAAAACCGGGTGACGACGAACGACGTAGACATTTTTGTGAGTGGTATACCAGGATGTGTGATGAGAGTTTTAATTTTCCATATAAAGTGATTTGGTCTGATGAAAGTATGGTGACCAATAACGGTATTTATAACAGGCGCAATACACACTATTGGTCGCAACAAAATCCACGTGTTAATAGACTATCCAGACATCAAGTTCGCTTTGGGTTTAATATTTGGTGTGGGATTTTTAGTAGCAAGATTATAGGCCCTATTTTCTATAATAATTCCTTAACTTCCGAGCGGTACCTTGACATCTTGAGGCACGATTTAGAAGATGCCTTAGATGATTTACCGCTAGGCGCTGTGCAAGGCTGTTGGTTCCAACAAGATGGTGCCCCAGCCCATAACTCCAGAGAAGTTCGCCAATATTTAACTGAACGGTTTGATGGAAAATACATTGGGACTTACAGTGAAACACCTTGGCCTCCAAGGTCCCCGGACTTAACTCCCTTGGACTTTTTCTTATGGGGCTACATAAAAAATGAGGTATTCAAAGAATGTTTTGACAACGAGGAACAATTACGTCAATCAGTACAAGCAGCGTTTAATAAAATTACTCCTGAAATGTTAAGTCGTGTTTTGGAGTCTACCGTGAGACGGGCGTACTTATGCCTAGAAAATGGAGGTCATTTATTCGAACATTTGTTATAGAATATGTTTTTCATTAACTTGTTGGATTTAGTT